ACCGAAATCTGTTGACATGTTTTGTATGGACTCGGATATCAAGTACATTGTTTAAGTTCATTCATGCATTGTTTCTTGGGTGTGTTTAATAAGGAATAAAAACTGGTGTGAAATTACAAAACGAGAGAGCAAGACTTTGAATATTTACTATATTAGTTTGAACCGAAATATGAAAAAGATATCTTTCAGAGTAACGGGCAGAAAAAAGTATGAAACGTAAGGATGAATAGTTGTGAAGCGTTAATAATACCTTAACTGTGTGTGTTGTACAACAGAACGTCAATTAGAAAATGATGTAATTATAAACCAGGGTGCATAAGTTCTCAAGTTTGCAGAGACAAGGTATTGACGTCAGTTGATGTTATCATCGTATCTATAGTTATAAAACTTCACCGTAGTTGCTACTGTTTTTTATGGAAAAATTTACGTGTGCAAAAGGGTTGGTATAGGTTTAGTTCCAACAATATTTGCGTAATTCTTCAACAAAAGATATATATGTCGGAAACATTAACGAACAGTTAGACTTAAAGAAAAGTGAATCGTCTCGTTTAAATTGTACGAAGGTCAAAAATTTTTATGTTGTTATTTATCGCAATTTTCATAGGATAAACTGACAAAAAAAAACGGTATCTTATAATAAAAAAAGGCAAGTCTTAGATTCAGTGCATGTTTTTTCCCACAAAAATATGTCTGCTATATAACGTTATGAAAGCATGTGCGTCACAGAATAGTTTTTTTTTTTGTTGTTTAACTTGCACCTATCATTCCAAGCTGTTTACTTCTTCGAATTAGGGATTCCAATTAACACAGTGAAACTGGAAAGTTAGTGGCATGAGTTAGATATAAGTGAGGTAGGTATCGGTGTTCAAAATGCCTGAATAATGTTTTCATTCAACTGAAAGATATACCTTGCATGGAGATTTATTGCATAAACATAGATGTGGATCATAGACAACCTGGTGACTGATAAGAGATATGTATGTGTATATAAATATTTGTGTGTCTGTCTGTTTAGGTATCTTGTTGAAACAGTTGGTTGATGAAGTTCATATACATTACTGTTATAACACTATTGTGAAAAAAACAACAATTGTTTTGTATTGTTTTGAAGAAAGTTGGTTTCAAAATTTTGTTTCAGTCAGCTGCACTAAAAGTCTCACCAAGTTGATCAAGCTTGAAAACTTACTCATATAGTCTTGATAGTATATGTAAGCTTAGTATTTCATTTGACAAAAAAATAAAATGGTAACTTTATGATGTTTTAGGTATCCCCAAGCTATGAAACTAGTGTTGTTACTCCTTCAACATCTACATCAGACATGACTTACACAGAATATTCGGTGAGTCATTCTCTTAAATATATTGAAACTAAGGTGCTAGGAAAAGGTATACATTTTGTCACATAATTAGTCATACAATTTTCTCTTGGTTATTTCTGCTTTCATGAAATTCAAAGAAAAATATTTTGACTATCATATCATTACCAGTGCTTCTAAACCTTGAATTAGTTTTATAGTATAACATGAACAACAAGATCCATTTTGTTATTAAAAGCTGTTCTTACCTATACCCATTTTTGAGAAAAAGTAAAAACGTAATTTTCTTTTAAGCTCTTTTAAAATACCAGTTTCTGTTAGTACTTACAGCATCTTATTCCACAAGCCAGTCACCTTGCCAAGAAATTAAATTTGTCTTAACTAGAGCCTAGCTTGTCTATCTGAATCTTAAACTGACCTCTCATCCTATTGTCTTCATAATATAAATAAATCAGATGCCTTTATCTTATTGATCCCCAAGTCAATCTTTTGAGCTTCAATAAGATCACCTTTTACCCTTCTTTTCTCAAGAGAAGATAAGTTAAAAGATTTTAACCTATGTCCATGAGATGACCATTTCGCTCCCAAAATCATTTTAGTAGCCAATCTGTGAACCCTTTTCAATAACTAAAGATCATTTCTTAGATATAAAGACCAAAAATGTTAACACTATTCCTTCTGAAACCTAACTAGTGATTTGTTTAAAAGAGATTATTCTATATCTTTTAAGTTGTAGTTAATATGTATTTAAGTACATCCTCAAATTCTGTTGGCTTCACTTCTTTCAACAAAGCACTATCTCAGTGGCTTGGATGACTTGCATTTATTATAATTAAAAGCTATCTGCCATTTATTCTCCAAACTAACTAAATAATCCAAGTCCCTTTGTAAGGCAGTAGCATCCTCCTCACATCCAGCAACACCCAAAACTTTAATGTAATCAGCAAATGTAAACAGTCTACTGACCTTGACCATTCCTTCATCTATGTCATTGATGTAAACCAAAATGAGCAAAGGTCCTAAAACTGAGCCCTAAGATATCTCAGTAATAACATTAATCTAGTTTGACTGAATTCCATTTACAACTACCCTCTGCTTTTGTTCATCTAGCCAATTTCATATCCAATGACCCAACCTATCCTCCAAACCTAAAGAGAACCTTTTTAACAAGCTTTTTATTTGGCATTTGTTCAAATGTTTTCTGAAAATACATCACATCCATACCTGTATCCTCAAATATGTAAACAGTAACCTCTTCAAAGAATATCAAAAGGTTAGTAAGACAAGATTTTCCCCTAGTGAAACCATGCTAACTATCTAACAAAATTTTAAACTTTATTTAGTGATTTTGTAAAGAATCTTTTATTAGACTATTAAAAACTTTTCCCACTTATGTAAGATTGATAAGCCAATAATTACTGGGACAAGTTTTATTACCTCCTTTGAAAAGGGTATAACATTAGCCAACTTCTAATCTTCTGACACCTGCTCACTGTTCAATGACCTAGAAAAATAATAGCAAGTGGCTCACATATTCATTCCTTATCCCCTTTCAAAGCCATTGGATAAATATTATCTGGCCCAGGTATTTTATCATTTTTTAAGCTTTCCAATTATTTTTTAACAAGCTCAGAATTAATGTGATCATCTTGTTCCCATCTAACATTTGTTTAGGCTAAAATATATTACTTAAATCTTCATTAATAAAAACTAAAGAATAAGTAGATATTAGCCTTCCAATGTAATTCTTCAAAGCCCCACTGTCATCTTAAGATTTTGCTTATCCTTAATGTATTTGGCCTTACTATTTATTTGTAATTACATGCATTAAATTCTAGTGTATACAGTTTACTAATGTACTAAATTCTAAGCAGTTATCAAATAGTAATTGGAACACTAATATAATATTCATTATTGTAATTAGATATAATAACTAATTAAATATTAAGAATATTGTTATAATTACAGTTGCATGAGTTGTCTCATTGTTGGTCTTTTAAAATATCTATTTATTGATATAACATTATATCTTATGCTAAATTGAGGAACAAACAAAAAGCATGTTCAGTGTAGTCTAAAGGCCAAATTTGTTTAAAATTAGTTAGCAAAGTGATGTGGAAGTTCAAGAATTACATAAGGGAAGGGGCTAATTCTGGAAGAACTAGCAACATCAAAGTACCATTTTCCCAGAAATTAAAAAGAGTCCAAACCAAAGAATAAGAAATTTTCATAAATATTAAAATATTTATACAATATGGTAAGGGTTTGACAGTTTCCAGGTTGGATGGCTCTGGAGCAATTAATATAGCAATTGGACCCACTGTATTTAAGCATTCTGATTCCTGTTAAGTGTAATAGTTTCATGTAGCAGTTGTGATTATATTTAATAAATATGTAGATATTAAGAACATTATTATTTTATAATTCAATTTAAGTGCCAAGTAAGAATAATTGCTCTTGCATGCACATTAATGCCTTAAGTTCAATGTTTCCAGTTATTGAGTGACATTTTAACTTCATTTCTGTCTGATGTTAGACTTCTTGCTAGAAGAATGAGGTTAAATGGTAATGTCACTACTGGTATTTTGTCAGAAAAGGTCCTGGGGTCAAACCCCAGTTCCAAAATTTCTTGTCATTTATCAGCTTTTACACTTATAATAATGTGTGTTATAAAGTTTACTTTCAATGATTCATACTATGAATTAACTATAGTAATAAAAATGTTTATGGGAGACTTATGATTTGGTTGGGTGGTGATAAATCAACCCACTAGTTGCCTGACCACAACATCACGAAGTTTCATATTCATATTTAAAAAGCCCTAGGAATGAAGGGAATTGGCAATAGCTTGTACTCTTGGATAGAGCATTAGCCCCATTATCCAAATGGTTCAAGCCCCAATCTTGGAATTTGTTTTCCCTTATCAATTTTTCACTTACGATAATATTTGTTAGAAAGCTTACTTTCGTTAATTCCTATCATTAAACAACTTTTAACTGTTAGCTTTAAGAAATATTTCATGGTTAGATCGTCCCAGTTTTACATTAAAATTTTAAGTGTTTATGTTCAAATCTGAGGGTTTATATTTTCTAGAAGATCTCAAGGTATAATCAACATTACGAGAGATGATAGAGAAATATCAAATAAAAGCCATAGTTATTAAGATAGGAGTTTAGTGGAAATTATGTGCTTTGTGATTGACCTACTAATCTTTTAGTGATCGTGACAATTTTTTTTTATTTATCTCATACATTAACTCAAAATAATCTACAAAATAGTAAGAACTAAAGTAATTTTTACATTGTGTTTCATAAAGTTAGCTTAACTTGCGTATTCTCCAAAGTAAAGGATATTTATAAAAGTAATTGCCTTTTTTCCCATAACCTTCAGTTTACCATTTGTGTACGTTTTTCAAGTAAAGATATGTATTTATTAGATTTTTATCTGAAAGCATGCATTAATGATGACCAGTTTTGCTTTGTGATAATATGTAGGGTTTGTGGCAGAATTAAAAGACCAGCATTCAAAGTTTAGGTTTCACGTTTCTTGACATTTAGGCCTAACATTTTATACATCTTCAGCTGGAGGCAAAGTAATAATACACTAACATTATAGAAATAGAAAATATTTTATTTAGTACTACATGTAGCCAAAGACAGTTCCATTTGTGTTTTTCAGTAATTCAAAAGCATTATTTAAAGACACAACCTCTAATAAAAACCTTTTATGCAAATTATTTTGCTAGGCCTATCAAAATTTAAACCTAAGGTAAGTGAAACTTTAAATTTTATAATTAGAATTACTTAGTACTTCACTGTATGTCATCACAAAAGTATAAGAAAAAAATTCTACTTTGATGGTGATTTGATGTTTGCTTGTCAGAACCAGCTGGAACTATTTATAATAATATATTTCTGTGTGTTTTATTTTTACTTCTTTAATTTAAAAGTGTGTCATTGTTTTGAAATATATGTATAAATAAAATGACTGTGTATACAAACCAAAATTATATTAAAATCCAATGGGAGCTGTTCAACCTTATTGTTATTAAATTTTATCTTACAGCACCTTAAACATAGTGTTTATTCTTAATTTTGTATAGCATTGTAGTAGAAGTTGCATTTATATGTTGATACTCTTAAGCTAAGTACTTTTTATAAGTATTAACGTGGGTGTTTTTCAATTGAAGTTTAATTAGTTATTTGAAACTGTTGATATATCTTCTTTTCTGGAAAAGTACATAATTATATTTAGTAAATATTTATCACAATTTTTTTAAACATTAAATATCTTTATGCATCATCACAGTAACATTTCAATAAACATCAATAACTTTTCACCACAGAAGTTTAACATGAAAACTGTTTGTATGTATTATGTTTCTCAACATTTATCAGAATAGTATTTTGTAAATAATACTGATTAAATCACAATGAATTATTGTTGGACTTCATCAGCAAAGTGCTTGTTTTTTAACAATGGTCTTATCTGATTTTATGATTAGGTGGGTCAATCTGAATATCCTGGAGTCATTCCTATTAATCAACTAGCTGCCATAAAACCAGACCAACTGAAACTAGCACAGGCCACATGTGCTTTGCCTGCTACGTGAGTAGTTTTATTCATTAAAATACCAAGTGTGTTGGTAGTAGCTTTTGAGTATCAAAAATATATCATAATTGAATTAATTATTTTAAATTATATGTTTGTAATTAATATTAAGCTATCTGAAAAGTAGGCTTCTCCTTGGAATAAAATATAATTTTGTTTGCTACAAGTCTTTAATTAGAACAATGAATCCCTAAAAAAAAAAGTGTTTCATCTAGTATTATTTATGAAGACTGAAGTAAAGAAGAAGAAAATTAATTAAAACAAAAAAAGTGTCAGAGCAAAATTACATATATATAGTGCTGAATGAAAAATGTAAGGTGGCCAAAAATTTACTTTGAATAAATTCTACTAAAGCAATAATGTATTTAAATATCTGGCTTGTATATACACAATATTATGGATCATTATTTTAAGAAATCAGCTCTAACTGATGCTTGAATTGACATTGTTGCTCTTTTAATCAAACTACCTTGGCTCAAAGCATTAGACTTCCTCTCCCTCTTGTTCCGGCATGGCCTGGTAGCTAGATTGCTTGACTCACAATCTGAGGATCATGGGTTCAAATCCCCATCCCACCAAATATGCTTGCCCTTTCAGCCATAGGGGCATTATAATATGATGGTCAATCCCACTATTCCTTGGTAAAAAAGTAGTCCAAGAGTAGGCAGTGGGTAGTGATGACTAGCTGCCTTCCCTCTAGTCTTTCACTGCTAAAATAGGGACGGCTAGCGCAGATAGCCCTCATGTATCTTTGTGCGAAATTCAAACCAAACTTCTCCCTCCTACATAATTCAGAATATATAGTATCCAATGCTTAATGCTAAGTGTCTTACATTTAATTATATATTGTTTAAATAAAATCCTATTAGAATCAACTAGCTCACTACCAGCATTTTGGTCTACAATTAATTAATATAAATTAATCATGTATTGTTTAAATAAAATCCTATTAGAATCAACTAGCTCACTACCAGCATTTTGGTCTACAATTAATTAATATAAATTAATCATGTATTGTTTAAATAAAATCCCATTAGAATCAACTAGCTCACTACCAGCATTTTGGTTTACAATTAATTAATGAATATAAATTAAAAAGGGTAGAGTTGCATGTATTCTTCTGGTAGAAACTACTGCTTAATAGTATCCGTAGACAACAACTTCAACCTTTAGCAAAAGTTAAAAAAAAAGAAAGAGTAGCACTGCAAATTGTTCAAAATAGTCCTGTTTTTTTAGTCAGTGGAATTTGTTGACATTTTCTGCATATTTTCAATTTATTTAAATTGTTTAAAACTCTACCTATTCCCCCCCTCCCTTGTATAAATACATAATAATCCCATATGAGAATGTTCATGCATTTTTTTATAACTTGAATAATTCTCATTATTTCTTGGAAACTAATTCAACATAAAGGTATTTATACAAGGTACGTTTCCGTATATTGTTCTATTGTTATTCTAATATGCATAGACTGGTACACCATAATGTTATTGTTATACTGATATTACTTTATCTCATAGAAATAACTGGCAAGGACAGTATGGTTTTTCGTTATCATTTGGAGTCCAAGAGAAGCCAACCAAAACTACAGCTTGGACAGTAAGTTTAGTGTTAGTTTTATTTGATAAATCATTTGTTCATAAGATATGGCAACCTGCATGGCTTGTTGTTTTTCTTACTTTTCTTTTCCACATTGATTTTTTTTCATTAATGAGGAAGCAATGTTGTAGCTTACTAGAATTAAAATTTTTACAAATTTTGGGTTTCTGAAAAACAAAATATTTATTCATAACTGTAAGCTATCTATGACACAATTTGAGCATTAATCATATTAGACAGATATCCTGAGCTTGAGTCATAAATAAAAAAAAATTAACTTTTTAACACACCATATTTCTCATAAATCTTGTTTCATCAATGTTACATAATATATGTCTTTTTTTTTTTGTGACTTGCAGAATATTTTAAGAAAAGGCACAGCACTAGCTTGAGTCTGTTTAAGTCTAGAATTACTGATAGGATTGGCCCCATTGGCTTTTTAAGCACATTTATTTAAAAATATTTAAGTGTCAAATTGATCGTTGGTTACAGAATCCCTAATAACATAACAGTTACATCTCGCATGAAAAAAAATATCATCAGTATTGTGATTAAGTACTTTTAGGCTTCCTACTATATGTAGAAAATTAGTTGTTTCACGCAGTTTGGCTACTTCTTTAAGTGTTTGGCAGGCAATTAGTTACATACAATTATTGGATATGATGCAGAAGGTGGACCCTACTGGTGAGTGAACAGTGCATTAACAAGCTGGTAATTTCAAGGTGAATATGATTTTAAGAGTATAATCAAATTACATTTGAACCTTAGCTTTTGTAAAGTTTTGGTTATGTTGTATAGTGAATTTTTGTATTTGAATAAGCTCTCATTATTCTATTAAAAAGTCATCTTCATTAAGATGTTTTTTGTAAAATAAATGTTTAAAATTTAATAAAATAATACTAGTAAAAACCTTCTGTCTGCTTGGGCAGAGCATAAACTAAAAAAATGAAGGGAGAAAGTCAGGAGAGAAGTTGTTGGAGACATAGTCAGAATAAACAAAGTTCTACGACACGTAGAAACCCAAAGAGTCATATGATTTGGCCACCTAACATGCATGGGCCCTGACCAACCAGCAGTGAAAGCCTACAACAGCTTACTCTCAGGAAATGGAAGAAGAGGAAAGTCATGAAAACAATGGATGGATGGGGGTTTCTGAAATCCTGCACCAACTTAGCGTCAGCCTCGCAAAGTCTATCCACTTCACCCAAGAAAGAAGATTACATCTTCTGTGACACCACCAAGCCTGAGCAGTGGATGAAACAACAAACATATCTGCTATGTTTTGTGTGAGCTTAATATTTTGTTAAGTCTGTTGGATTTGGTACAAGCCTTTAACTTAGGTTACTTTGTTTTTATAAATCAAAAATAATTCTCTAATTTCTCATTCTTATATCGATATGGATATTAACTATGTGTCTCTATTTCAGTACTCTGAAATGAAGGACAAGCTGTTTGTAAATATGGGTGCTGCCTGTCCTGTGAGATTTCACACAAAGCACCTCCCACCCCCAGGCACCATTCTCCGTGCTATGGCTGTGTTCACCAAACCAGAATATGTTACAGAAGTGGTTAAACGATGTCTGACTCATTCCAGTAGAAATGAAGCATCCAATGAAAGTAAGAGTGTCTGTTAAGAATGAAATGTATGAGTTTATAACTTTATTTTAAAGGTCTTTATATGTATATAAAAGATTCCAGTTGGAAAATTTACTTGCACAATTCAGGTGAAATACACGAGACCCTGTAAGGTGCAATTTTTTGGACCACAGTGTATAGTCATCAGTACTTTACATGTATAGAGCTTGATGTACATGAATGTTAAACAAGCAAACCTTTGAGTAAATTTTCCAACTGGTACATGTATAGAGCTTGATGTACATGAATGTTAAACAAGCAAACCTTTGAGTAAATTTTCCAACTGGTACATGTATAGAGCTTGATGTACATGAATGTTAAACAAGCAAACCTTTGAGTAAATTTTCCAATTGGTACATGTATAGAGCTTGATGTACATGAATGTTAAACAAGCAAACCTTTGAGTAAATTTTCAACTGGTACATGTATAGAGCTTGGCATACTTGAACATTAAACAGGCAAACCTTTGAGTAAATTTTTCAACTGGTACATGTATAGAGCTTGGCATACTTGAACATTAAACAGGCAAACCTTTGAGTAAATTTTTCAACTGGTACATGTATAGAGCTTGGCATACTTGAACATTAAACAGGCAAACCTTCAAGTAAATTTTCCAACCAGCACAAGTGTGGAACTTGACATACATGACTATTAGACAGGCAGACCTTTTAAAAGGTGATGCAGGCTCATTCCTCTAATGTTTCCATTCAACAAGGACAGTATGAATAGATCCAAACACATAACACACAGACTACAGGTAGTCCTAAAATTAATGTTGCAATGTTTAAAGAACTTAATGTCTTTTCCACTAGACGTTCTAGTGTTTAACAAAGATAGTGTATTTTCCGATGTAGTTAGACTATTGTGAGATCTTTATTACAGTAGTTACTAGTAAAGAAGTTTTTCACGATAATAGTTATGTACTTTTAACCAGTAAATAAGTATTTAAAATGATTTTAGTAGGACCACTAGATGCTGATATTGATTGAATGTCCATTGAGATTGGTGTCCTATCTGTCCAAATTGTTCCTCCACATTTTAAGGTATCTTTTTTTTAGAAATATTAATATGTTTCTTATATAAGCTTACTTTCTCACTTAAATCATTTCAAAGTAAACTTGCTGAAATATTTTAAATGGATGTACTAGTTTTAATTTTGAATTATCCTACATTTGTTTTTTCTGTTTGCAACAACAGATCACCCAGCTCCTGAGCATTTAATCCGATGTGAAAGCTCTCAGGCTTACTATCTTGTTGATCCTACAACAGGAAGACATTCAGTGGTTGTGCCTTATGAAAATCCACAAGGTACGTACGTCAACTAATGAATCCTACAGATATATTTCTTATTGCATACAAAACTTACTTTTCTAGCTGTACTTTATGGGTGAAGAAATCCTTTAATTTTCTGTGTGTCCTACTTGCAACATCTTGTATTTTTTGTAACCATAATGCTTCTGATTTCAGTGGGAATGTCCTTTATTGTGTACCTCTTCAGATTCATGTGTTTAGGAAGCTGTGTAGGAGGTCTAAATCGTCGTCCAATACAAATTGTATTTACTCTAGAAAATGATCGGTGAGTGCTATGATTGAATCAGTGTTTCCTTAGTTCTGAGAATGATATTTTTATGGAATTTAGAATACTTTTTTTCTTCTATTAAAATAAATTCATATATCTCTTTTCTTCTGAGTTTGAAGTAATATGAGAGTTTATAAATGTAAAAAATAAGTTTTGCAAAGTTTTGGGCATTTTGACTTTAATGTTTGAATGAAAACTATATTTTTTCACTATCTTGTTCAACTGAATTGTTTGGTCTTAACAAATCAGTGTTCATATTTAAATAAATGTTATCTGTACATTCAAAAAACAGTTACTAAAATGATTTAAACCCTTGCAGTTAGTGTCAGGTATGAAAACATTGAGTTCAATTATCTGTTCCAAAAACTGCATGCTCAAAGCCTTTGTGGAGGTTTGGAGAAACTTTTATACATGTTCATGTAGTGCCTGTGATAAACATAAAAAGAAAACACAGTTAAAACAATTTCTTCTTGGTTCAGTGGTAAATTTATAGAATTACAATGCTAAATCCAGGGTTCGATTCCCAGCTGTTGACAGAGCACAGATAGCCCACTGTGTAGCTTTGCACTAAACAAACAAAACAATTTGATCGAAATTTTAATATGTCACAACTTTATATTACAATGAAATAATTTTAAACAATGTGATGAATAAGTCATGCTCAGAGAATTGTATAATTATATAATTAATTGCCCCCCAGTGGCACAGCGGTATGTCTGCAGACTTACAACGCTAGAAACCGGGTTTCGATACCTGTGGTGGGCAGAGCACGTATAGCCCTTGTGTAGCTTTGTGCATAATTAAAAACAAACAAACAAAACAAACAATATAATTAATTTGCTTCTGGGAAGGAAATGTTTACAGTTCTATGTAAATGGTTTACTACTAAAAAACTCCTTAAATATCATCACAGGAAGATCATTGGTTAATGAAATATGTAAGACAATGTGCTGTTAAAAGACAGTTCAGTCACAGATAATTAAGAGCTAAACTGTGTACAGTTTATAGATTAACTACAGTCAAGTTGTAGCTACACTACTTATAACTTGTCAGTCAATTGTAGACAGTTTGTATCAAATAATTTGTTGATTAATTGCAGACACCTTGCAGTAAAAATGCCTATTGTTCATAGAATATGTTATTAAATTGTTTTTGCTTTCTTATCATTCATCATCATGCAGTGGTTTGTGTCTTGGACGTCGAGCACTAGAAATAAGAATTTGTGCTTGTCCTGGGCGGGATCGCAGAAATGAAGAAAATCTTTTGGAAAAACAGCATGAACCACAGCAAGGAACAGTGGATAGTGTCAAACGTGAGTTTTACCTTCTCATTTTTAAATCTCTTCCATTTTTTTATGCAATCGTAAGTAAAAATTATTTAACAGTAAGAATTTTTTTAAGATTACTGCTTCATCCAGTGAAGTCTGAAATTGTTGAAGAGAAAACCGAGTACAAGAGTTTACAATGGTTCTGAAAAGTAGGGAAGTCGTTGAGAAATGACAATATAGTCAAGAATCCTGGAAAATCAAAATCAATCCATCAACATATTTTAATCAAAATTTTTAATTATAAGAAATTGAAAAAATTTCTTCTTTGATCAACTAGATTTTCAACCCTAGAATACAATTCTTGAAAAATGGGGTTTCACCACATTCATATACGAAATCCAAGTTGTTTTGTTGCAGATAACTTTCGAATCACTTCAGAAGTTGTAATCAGGTTTAATGAACATCATAAACATACAGTTATAATTATAAGAGTTTAAAAGAAAATGTGTTTTGAGACATATGTTGATGTTGCTGAAAAGACACAATTACAGCAGAAATATATAAATAAATATTACCCACATTACAATAACATGACTCTTCAAGATTATTTTAAATCTTGTCTCTCACAGTCAGTGGCATACTAAGTTTCCAAGACAACAAGTTAAATTTAACAATGCAACTTTAGCTAATTTTTCAACCCTGAATATATATATTTAGTCATTTACTGCCTAAACTTTATATGTTACAATAACGATTGGGTGACAAAAAAAAAGATTAAGATTTGACCAAGCATCTAGTAATGAAATTCATAAGTACAGATGTTCTTCTAACATCGTAAACATTTTACAAGACACCCTCTTATGAATACTGTTGTGAGGGATAGATAGTGATTGGATGTGCATGTGCTTTCTGTTATTAACTTGACATTCAGTTATCTACTTGGTTTTGGCTTAGTTATAGCATGAAACATCAATTTTAAAATTTTGAGTAATATAACTATGTTTCACGAATGAAAAAACTTGGTGTGTGCCAGAAGCTTCAATTCTTCAGGTAAAAGAGTAGGCCTAAATATGCTAAAGGAAAGCAACATTGCTCTGTTATTCACATTAGTCAAACTGGGAGTGTATAGGTTATCATGTTGTACAGTTAGTAAATGATGATTGTTCACGATGTAACTCTGAACCTGAACTATAATGATGCTCGTGTCACTAAGCCTTAAAGTTTCAGTAGTTGACTTTTGGTTTTAGCCATTGTGGTTGTTTAGAGAAGACAAATAATCGTATACAATAAATAAAAAATACAAAAAACAGTATACCAAATAGGTTATTGATGTCAAGAAAGTATTCCAAATGTGCAGACTGCATCAATGAACATGAATTATTTTAATCTTCAAAAATAGTGAGCTGTATTTTACATTCTACTTCGTAATATCTGCTCTTCTTGTCATATGGAACCTTCATATTTTAGCTATTAATTTATCATTGTGACATTTTATGAATAAACACACAAAAATATAAAAGTATAATGATAAATTTGTGTCATTTCACAAAGTACAGCAGTTAAGAATTAGAACAACAAAAAGAAACACTAGTACTACAATAATGTATGATGTTATTGTACTATATTTGGGATTGTTTGCTTTGGGAACTATGAAATGTGGGAGTTGATACTGTGTAGAACTGAAGTTCTTTGTTGTCATCTTAATGAACACTGTCTTAGGGGTTAAACAGCAAGGAAATCGTATAGTAGAACTGAAATTCTTTGTCATCATCTTAGTGAACACTGTCTTAGGAGATAAACAGCAAGGAAATCGTACAGTAGAACTGAAATTCTTTGTCATTATCTTAATGAACACTGTCTTAGGGGTTAAACAGCAAGAAAATCATATAGTAGAACTGAAGTTCTTTGTCATCATCTTAGTGAACACTGTCTTAGGAGATAAACAGCAAGGAAATTGTATAGTAGAACTAAAGTTCTTGGTCATCATCTTAGTGAACACTGTCTTGGGAGTTAAATAACAAGGAAATCATATAGTTGAACTGAAGTTCTTTGTCATCATCTTAGTGAACACTGTCTTAGGAGATAAACAGCAAGGAAATCATATAGTAGAACTGAAGTTCTTTGTTATCATCTTAAGGAAAACTGTCTTAGGAGTTAGATAGCAAGGAAATCGTATAGTGGAAATGAAGTTCTTTGTCATCTTTGTCGTAGGAGTTAAATGGCAAGGAAATCATATAGAGGAGAAGAAATAAGATGGGTGCCTTCTGTTTTGCTTTTGTTTTTCAGCGTATTACTATAACTTTTTCTTTAATTCTCATCTCTTGCTTTAGCTTTCAACTTTAGTTAACACCTTTTCCAAATACACTTGTTGGACCTCCCCAGAAACACATCAGCACATCATCTTGTGAATATCCCATGAAAATTTAATCTTTGTTGGCCACTTTTTCATAGTCCACCATCACCAGTTTATTGGTTTAAGTTCTCTTACCTTTCTATGTTTCCCCCATAAAATGGACAGTTCTTTGAATTGTAATTCCTACTTACTGAACTATCTTAAACACTGTTATTATTTCCATTTTGAAAGAAAATAAAACAGCTTACAACACACACTATTTTACATTTATCATGACTTATTCAACCCTTGTGAGTTCATATGACCATTACAAGTGTCATATACCATAACTTATGTGTTTGTGTAAAATATATGTAAAGTATACGTGTGGGAGTTAGCTGTACAATATGCAGTTTCCATTCCAGCTACAAGTACACGTCAGTATAATTAACTTTCTTAAAACTAACCTTCAGTAGATAATGAAGTGAGGGTGGAGAAATATTTTATGGTTTTTAGTTTACCGCAAAGTAATTCTATATGTAATAGTAGGAAGATACACAATACTGTGTAAAGTTATCTAAACTAAAGTTTTTTTCTGTGCTTTTTTGATAAGTACTTGAATTTAATATAAATAACATACATTCTTTGTGTAGAAGAAAAGTCCATATTTCTTTGGAAAGAGACCCCCCCCCCTCCATTCTATTGTGCTGGCTATGCCCCTGCTTGTGTAGTATGTTATTTGAGGGTTGTTGTTTTTTATAAATTTGGATCTGTTAGGAAAGTTGTCAGGTAAACAGTTCTAAACATTAAATTGAGATTGTAATAAAACACACATTTTTATGTGAGAAAAGTCTACATATAACTGTTTTATGTGTTTAATCTACAGGTACAGTTGTCAGGTTATCTCAAGAACTTTGGAACAATACTCCACTTCCAAAAAAAGTAAAAACAAGCAGCGATGATGATAAAATCTTTACTTTGGAGGTAATTAATTTAATTGAGTCATTTGCAAAACTATTTTACAAGTGACTCTTTGCTTAGCATTTTCTGTATTCTTGAGTGACCTCTAGTGATGTCTTATTGAACATCTTATTCCATATTAAACTTGAGGTAATTCTTATACTTGAAACACTTAGTTCTAGATCATAACAGTCTAGTGTTAGTGTACCTAAATTGTGATTCTAAGGATTCACGGTTCAAATCCTTTTGCTACAAATGTATGTTTAGCACCTTAAAGTTATGGGTGAGCTGTAAGAGTGACAGTCAAATCCCACTATTCAATATAAGTGTAGACCAAGAGTTGGTGATGAGTGCTGTCGACTCTAGTCTGTTAGCTCAAAATTAGAAAGTAGCTTTGCAAAAACATTCCGAAATAAAAAGTCTATAAACTATCAATCAGTCAAAATAGTCCAAAAATCTTTAAAATCATGTTTAAAATATGATCAAAAGTTCTATTCATTGTTATCATTTAACATAATGACTATTTGACAACAGTGATATAGCATTTGTAAAAACAAGAAACAAAAGTCATGAAATTATTATTAATTTTGATTAATCCGTACTGTTTTGTAATTTTATTAGATGAAAGAAATTTCATTTTCATGCAACTGTGCTCGTATATGAAACTTGATTTCCTCTTTAGGTCAGAGGACGCAAAAACTATGAATACCTATGTATAATGAGAGATGCACTAGAGAAACAAAGATACCTGACAAGTGAGCAACTCAGAGCCTACCAGCATGACAAGTAAGTGTACAGTAGCTTATAAACATACTTAATACGTAAAAAATGAAATTGTTTGTTTTAGAGAAGATGTAAAACTGGCTGCACAGTATTATATTTTTTATTCAAAAGAAAGTTATCAATGGACAAAAATAAAAATTTTGAGCAAATAGAGAGAACATTATATATTAAAATGTTTAGTTTACTTTTTGTTGTATTTTTATACTTTTAGTGAAAAACAAAGACCATGCATAAATAGAAGTATGTAAGACATGTGAGAAAAAAAAAATATTTTTGGCATACAGTTGGATCTGATTATGCATATTAGTTTAAGTTGTTTTAATACAAAAAATGTCTTTCAAAGGAAAGTAAGTCATGAAGTTTGTTTTACTTCAATGAATTTTAGGACATGCAGAGACAAATTATTTGTTTATAAGCATTGAGTTGTTCTTAGTTAGTTCAGTCAGTTAACTGGCAGCAAGTGTTTAGATGAGAAAAGTAAGTGTCAGTGTGAAAGTTAATAACCTCTTCAAGTTTACACTTTGATAGTTAACTGGTAGCAAGTGTTTAGATGAGAAAAGTAAGTGTCAGTGTGAAAGTTAATAACCTCTTCAAGTTTACACTTTGATAGTTAACTGGCAGCAAGTGTTTAGATGAGAAAAGTAAGTGTCAGTGTGAAAGTTAATAACCTCTTCAAGTTTACACTTTGATAAGGTATATTTTTTGAAAGAACTTTCCTTTAAGATCAATCATTTTGCATATTTAAAGACTGCTGAACTAGCAGCAGTTAAACGGTATGCTGTAAACTGATAGTGTTGTAGCAGAAAGAGCTATTAAGTGTATTTAATGTTAATTTAAAATGCTTTGAAGGATTAGAAACCGAGTCGGAACTGTATTAGAAATACGTGGTTATGTTGTTTACTTTAACTGAAGAAGTAAATTTCTTAATTTTATATAAGGGAGCTGCACTTCAGTAAACCCAAAAAGAAAGGAACGGAACTGTATTAGAAATACGTGGTTATGTTGTTTACTTTAACTGAAGAAGTAAATTTCTTAATTTTATATTAGGGAGCTGCACTTCAGTAAACCCAAAAAGAAAGGAAATAAGAATTCTTCTGGAGAAGAAAGTGACTAAAGACTGAAAAGTTGGACAGACCTAGATGCTTAAGGGAAAGAATAAAGAGAAAATCTAACTGCCTTTAAAGAGAGTTGGCTACCTGATTACAAGAAGTAGCAAATCGGGTAGTCTCGTCACATCTGTACCAGTCGTTACTGAGAAACCATTGTTTTTACGCGAAGCATTGTTTGAGGTTTTTGGTAATTAAGTTGATAAAGAGAGAAAAAAAAATAACACTCATAGTTAAAAACCTATGTGGATTGTCTGGTTCAAGTTACAAAAACCAGTGTAACTGTGAGGTCTTGACAAACTCTTCAAATGGGGAATTGAAGTTTACTATTAGTTTTTAAGAACATTTAAAGAAACGAGAGAAATTTTACATTTCTACTGCCGTATGGTTAGATAATAATGTAATATCACCTTGTAGCTTGTGTTCTGAAGTTATTAAGAATTACTATGTTATCAGAGCAATGGAAATGTGACATCTTCTTTTACACAATGTTGTTTTGATACAAGTTACCTAGAGCCAGTAATTAACATTTATTGTGACACAAAATAATACAAGCTCTGATAATAATATGTTAGGAGATGATCATAAACCATAATTACTTTCATATTGCTCTAATTTAGATGTTCTAACTTTCCATTGAATATTATACTATATTTCAAGGCAGAACTATTATTTATATTATACCAAAAGGATTTTTGGAGTGGGGATTAAAATATGCATTTAAAACTACATTTTTTTTCTATGGATTTTACGTTATTCTACATGAATGTTCAGAATCAAGGAATTTTCAAACTTGGACAAACTTCATCTGGCTTAACATAGGTTTAGGTATTAGTAACTAGTCAGGGAGACTGTCTTTCAAAATTGCAACTTATAATAAACCAAGGTTGTCATTCATTTTTTTCAAAATAAAATTGATTACTCTTCCTTTTTCTTAGCACCTTTTCCTCCTTTTTTATTTTTATTCTTTTTGGAAATCCATCAAAAGAAGCCTTAAGTTATATAGTTTCCCAGATCCATCACAGCATAGCTCTCACAACAATCATTAGTTGATAAATATAACACATAACATCTGTTACAGTAACATATAATTATCAAGGTACATATACAAACGCACACTACTTAAAACAGCTCATAATCAACCTTGTTCAGTCATAATGCATCCCATGCAACAACATTTATTGTTTAGCTTAATGCTGAAAGCTGGTGAAACAACACGACCAACACTCACATTAAAAATCATGCAAGACTGCAGATCTATCGTGTTTTTTTTTCTATATTCTTCAAGTTTAGTCTATTATGGATTTAAAGTCAGAAGTGTGGTAAAAATAATTATAGTATAAGCAGCTGTCGAAATTCAATGCAATATTGCCTTTATAATAACCTTTTCAAAACAGAATACAGTTCAACAGATGTTATTAGTTCCCATAACAACAAAAACATGATTAACCAAACATTCCCCAAGTGGTACAGCAGACTTATAATGCTAGAAACCAGGTTTCGATACCCATGGTGGGCAGAGCACAGATAGTCCATTGTGTGTAGCTTTGTGCTTAACTTCAAATAACCAAACATTAAATGACTTGTACAGCAATCTGCAGCTGATTAAATGCAACACATGACAGTTTACATCATGATATATAACGGAACAGACCCAAGTTAATGTTATCAGTTGTAATTATATATATATTCTGTAATTATCAGTGTTCTACCATCTTGAGTTCATAGTTGTTCGAATTTCCTGTTTAGATTATTCAAAATTCGTACTAGTTTGTAGTGAGAACATTGTGAAATATAATTTTTGAAGTTTAACTATTATTATTATGCTAACAGACTGCAAGTGTGTGTGATAATTAAAGGTTAAGAAAAATCATTCACACACATTGTAATATTTTTAAGTTACACTTTATGTAGTTAGGCTAGATTCCTGTGTTAAAACTGATTTTCTGCTGTTTTTTCTGGAACTATACAAAATGTTCGTATGAAAAAATCCTCCTACATGTAGTTACTAAAGCATTGATTATCTAGCAGTTAGAGTTTTGTTCTTAATAAGTGGGTCATTAAGAAAGATATCTTATCATGACCAAATAAATAACTTAATGTTACCAATTAAATGAACCATAATGTCTCATGCAGTACACTATATATATATTGAAAATTAGTTTTTAAGTTTCTGAAAGATTGCTGTGCTTGCATTTTAAAGAGCTTAAGGAAAATTTACCATTGTATGTCTTAAAGGAACAGGTTTACTCAACTTCTTTATTGACATTGTTAGTTAAGTAGTTTTATTGGCAATTTAGATGACAAGAAATTTTCTTTCTATTTTTTTTATCTCCATTTCACACTATTTTAAAGCATTGCAGCTTTCAAGTTGTACTGTAGTCCACGCCTTTCAACCTTGTGATTTTTACAAGATTCATGGGACAAGCTAACCCAGCAAATCAGTTGGTAGTTTTTTTTATAGTATGGACTTTTTATGTGTTTAAATTTGAAATAATAAAAAAAACAGTTTTAAAACCTATCTTCTTTTTTTTTCAAAACAAGAGAATTAAAAATTTTAAAACTTTGATATTTGAAAGTTCTTCAAAATAATTTGTTTCCAATAAAAGTCTTTTGTTTAAAACATTGATCTTTGAATACTATCTTTTGTTTTTGGTTTCTTTTGTCTAAATAACCTTTCACACATTCTTTTACTACACTGATGTATTCAATGATTTCCATAAAAGGAAGGAACTGCCAGATCATTTTATTTTGAAATTAATTATAAATATGTTGGCCATACAAAACTAAAAGCATGTTTTTTTGTTGTTGTTGTTTTTTCAAACAGCAACATTTTGTTTCAGTGGTATAGATACTTTTCAATGGCAATGAAATTAAAACAGTTTAACCATACAGACTTGCAATGACAGTATTATAAATAATTTGACCATACAGACTTACAATGACAGTATTATAAATAATTTGACCATACAGACTTACAATGACAGTATTATAAATAATTTGACCATACAGACTTACAATGACAGTATTATAAATAATTTGACCATACAGACTTACAATGATAGTATTACAAATAATTTGACCATACAAACTCACTATGACAGTATTATAAATTTTTTGACCATACAGACTCACTAAAACAATGTTATAAATAATTTGACCATACAGACTCATTAGGCCCGACATGGCCAGGTGGTTAAGGCACTCGACTCGCAATCTGAGGGTCGCGGGTTCGAATCCCCGTCACACCAAACATGCTCGCCCTTTCAGCCGTGGGGGCATTATAATGTGACGGTCAATCCCACTATTCGTTGGTAAAGGAGTAGCCCAAGAGTTGGCGGAGGGTGGTGATGACTAGCTGCCTTCCCTCTAGTCTTTCACCACTAAATTAGGGACGGCTAGCGCAGATAGCCCTCGTGTAGCTTTGCGCGAAATTCAAAAACAAACAGACTCATTATAACAGTATTATAAGATAATTTGACCATACAAACTCACTATGACAGTATTATATGATAATTTGGCCACACAGGCTCACAATGACAGTATTATGACATAGTTTGGCCATACAGACTCACTGTCATGATATAAAAGACTGTTTGGTGCAAATATTAGTGATTAATTTATATTTGTGGGTGAATATTTTATTATTTTTAAGTTTTGTTATAATAAGAGTTAAAAGCAGACGATTGTAGAAGGTTTTGTTAATAACTAATTGGTGTCGAGAATATAGAAAGTGGCCAGACGACTATGTAATAAAGATATAAATAGTGTGAGATGAGCGGGAAGCAGCAGACAGACAGTATTAGACAGATAAAAGCAGAGAGAATATAGTTGGTGTGAAGTTAAGTAACGTAAAGGTGAGAGGCCTAACGTTTAATATATATATATTAGAGTGAAACTAACGGTGGAAAAGGAAATTAGAAAAAATAAGTTTATTCCGTCAAAACTAAGTAATTGAATAAGCATGAGTGCACTTTGACAAAAGCAACATAGGATCTTCAGAAGAAAGATTATCACAATCGTAAGTGAATCACACCTGACTAATATTGTGATAGTATTAGAGAAAATAGTTCTGCTTGTCAACTGAGATTCTAAAGTAATTGAAGAAGCCTAAATGGACTTTTGACAGGAAGAGGAGAACTATACATATACTGATATAACGTTTACGATATGTTTATGTTCTCAATAGTGTGAGCACTTTATTGTACATATGTTTAACTTGTTACGAATACATATATTATTTGAAAACAAGTAAAGTGTATGCTGTTTATTCGTCGTTGAATTTATCTCTAACAAGTCACAGACACCTACTGTAGAAGAATCCTAAGCTCAACAACTACATAGTGTATATTTATACTGTTTAATAAATATAAGTAAAAGCCATTTATTTTGACAATTGGCTTAAAAAAAAAGACCAGAACCAATATACATATATGATATTATTTTTTTTAATCTAACACTGTAACAATATTATGGACTAGAGGAGACCTGCAAAACATTTCCGGCCAAATTAGTATCTTTATCGTAACAGTACTTCTTTAAATATAACATTTCTAGCACAATACAAACGAATTGTAATCGTAGACAACGAAATGTGTAAATCCTGTTATATATAGTCTGCACTTTATAAAACTTTAGCTTATCTTAGGCCGAAGTTCGATCAAGTGATAAATCAACACTGTAACCTGTGTACGGTTGTTGTTGTAGGTTGTTGTTTTTTTTTAGTTTAGATGGACTAAACTTTACTGTACTTAATACTGTCGATAAATAAACTTATAATGCTATTCTACGACCTAACGTCAAACCTTTTTTATAAACTTTGTACAAAATGGTTAGTAAAGTATATTTACATTCCCTTTTTGTTGTTACTTCTTGTTTAATACGGCAATTGTAGCGACTTGATCACTGTGTGTTTGCGGACTTACAACGCTAGAATCCGGGTTTCGATACCCGTGGTGGGCAGAGCACAGATAGCCCTTGTGTAGCTTTGTGCATAATTAAAAAACAAACAAACAATGATCACTGTGCTTTGCAGCTCTCTGCCGCAGGCAGACTGTTTGTCGTCGAGTGAATAATGCGTATGCGCGGTTTTTCTTGGGAAAACATTCTAACTACGCATGCTTATGCAGCAGGTTCTCGGTCAGAAAGCGTAACGGTCGTACATACGAATAAGCAGAATAATAGTATAGATAGTTTGACTATAGAGACTCACTGTTATAGTATTATACTGGGTAGTTTGACTATTTAGAGTCACTATCACAGTATTGTAAATGGTTTGATCATAAAATGGTTAATATCACCATGATATTATTATAGTTTGACCATACAGACTCACTATGGCAATATTACGGGTAGTTTGATCACGTAAATTCACTGTGATAGTATATTAAGTAACTATAACTAAAATGCTGTCTTAGTGAAGAAAATGCTAAGTTACAGAAATAGCCCAGCCATATAAATTAGAGATATTATACACACACACGTTAGAAGTTAAAATAAATAAGTGGGGAAATCTTGGCCTACACAGCTTTTATAGTTTGGTGTTAAAGATTTGCTGTTACATTTTCACAGAAATAGCCCAGCCATATAAATTAGAGATATTATACACACACACGTTAGAAGTTAAAATAAATAAGTGGGGAAATCTTGGCCTACACAGCTTTTATAGTTTGGTGTTAAAGATTTGCTGTTACATTTTCACAGAAATAGCCCAGCCATATAAA